CAATAGAACAATCAGTGGTTCAAGTTAGTATATTCCTCAGTGTAACATATCCACTAGTTGCAAAGCTTAAACATTTTTTAATTTAATTTAATTTTAAGGGAAAGGATGTTTTCACTACTCAGTTTGTCAACTATGTTACGGGCAAACTTGATGTCATTACAATCATTTGATTAAGTCCTGCACTTCAAGTAAAATCAAATTTGAAAGGCTCTTGAGTCTATTCTACCATATATCCAAAGATTTTTTAAAGTTTAAAAAATAATTGTATTAAAGTTTTGTTTTTTCATGTGATATGTTCAGCACTGTCATTAAGTTTAGGGATATTTTGTATTATAAAACTACCATACAGGTCATTTTGATAGTTTTAAGAGATGTCATGTAAAACTCCAACCTGTGTACATTAATAAACATTAATAAAGGATATCAGAAGCACTATTTTAGATATTTTAAATTTGAAAAAATGAGGTGCAACATAGTTGACAATGAAAGTCAAACATTTGACGCAAATAACATAGTTGACTGGACACATTATTAACCATCAGCACTATGTTCATTTCAAGGCAGAAGTGCAAAATTCCATTGATAATGATGTGTAATGACGTCTACATGTCATACAAATTGTCAACTAGGTTACCTGTCAACTAAGTTACTACAGTTATTACAGTACTGGGTAACTTAGTTGACAGGTAACCTAGTTGACAATTTCCCTATTTTGACCCATCATTTCAATGGTAGGCCTTGCCTGGATGACCACATGTCATTTTCTTGAACAGGTTAACATCACATTTGAACATATAATTGAATTAAAATCATTAAACAATTGTAAACCATAACAATGTACGTAACATTGTTGATGGTCAATTAATATACTCATTGACAATGTGCTATTATACATAAAATATTGTAAAAAATTAGAGGACAATCACCACAGTGTGTTCAAAATGTCTGCCAAAGAGGAACATGGCATCATGTGATGCTGGTGACATGGTATTGGGACAAACCATTTTTGAGTTAAAGGGGGGAGTTCTGTTAGTAACATAGTTGACAGAACTTTTGCGGACATTCATATATTAAGATATTTAAATTATTTAAAGGAGGAAATCAATTAAAAAGATGTTATTATTCTTTAGTATTTAGACTTTTGAAATAAATGAATACTTTTTTTTATTTACTTTAATGGTTTTTATTCATTATTTTGAAACCAAGACACCCTCAACTGAAAAAACGGACATAGCAAAAACTGACAATTTAAGAACATCATGACACATTTCAAGCTAAATAAAGCATAGGATGCACATAATGTTTGTGTGATATTATAACATGCTTTCCAATAATAGGCAAAATATGATATTTTTGAAGAAAATAGTTAGAATAATTATAATTATCATCAATGGACATCAATGGACATGGAATGTACCCTAAATTGTAGAATCACTCGTATACACTGTAGCCAGCCAGAAACTGTTGAGCATGTTTTACTGCTTTGCAGGAAATATAGTACTCAGAGAAATGTGCTTTTCCAGACACTGAAGAAAGCAAAATTCCATGACTTGTCGCTATCAGGGCTGTTAGGGAAAACATCAGGCAATATGTATTGTATTGCAGGTCTCCCTTGAAAAAGAGATCGTTGATCTCAATGGGATTTTTTAACCTGGTTAAATAAAGGCTACAAACAAACAATTGTGAGATTATTACGTTTCTAAGAGGAATTGATACATTTAAAATAATCTAGAGTTTTGGTTCTTTATTTTATTTTATTGTTTTTTGCATAGTCTGTCTCTTGTCCACACTCCAGTCCAGTTGGTGGCGGTAATGCACCTACAAGTTGGTTTGCCAACCGCCAATAAACGTCAAAGAAGAAGAAGGGCTCACTATTTATATCTCAAACAGGAAACCATCAAACGGAAAAGGAGGTACGTACAAACATGACTACTAAATCATACTTGAAATCGTTCGATATGTGTGGTAGAGAGTCTTGTGAGCTAACGTTATACAGCTTACTTGTTACTTGTTTACCAGCTCGTTGCTAGTCAAAGGAATATGTAATAGAAGCTTCGGCTAACGGTTGTGTTAGAAATTAAAATTCAATGTTTTATGGCATGATTTAGTCTAAAACATACCGTCAGTTTAAAAGCAGTCAGATGAAGAACTTATTACTTTTAGTATTGTGTTCACACCTTAAATGGTGTGAAAGGAGGGATTGTTAGAAATTAAAATCAATGTTAAACAGCATAATTCAGTCTAAAACATATCGTCAGTTTAAAGCTGTTTTATTGTGGAAAAGCCCGGAAGTTCTCAGGAAATCAATGCCAAGCTTTTATTCTGAAAAATCCTTTATCCGGTTAGCTTGTGACTAATGTTGCGTTTTCTGAATGTAAAGTGAAAATGACTTGGAGTGTTACACACAAACGTACGGACTTTAACACTACATCGATAGACGTTAAGATATTATTACTGCTGAATATTAAATGAAGGTCTAGTTGATCGTAGTGTTTACAGATACGTGAGAAGCTATGACGTCAGAGGGAATTTCCGTAAAATAAGAATTGTGCCGGAGCGGAACCACTAGGACTTCTAAACTAAGTATTACAGCTGTTTATAAGGTATTAAATAGAAAGTCATGACAGAGATAATGAGGAGAAAATGCTTAAGGAAGTAGGCAGAGAATATCAATGTCGAAATCATCTGTGCTCTCGCGATATCGAACCGGCAAATGAGTACGGGGCCACCCACTATTTGCACAGCGGGGGACAACGAGACGTGGATAAAAAGGCAGGACGAAAGATAACTCACTCTCTTTCCTTCGCTGCAGCCTCCCTGAAGACATCTCCGGCTTTGTCTCTCCATTACCCATGCTTGTTATTCAACCACGTTACTTAATTAAACTACCCATTTGAACCTTTTCAGAGACTCCATTAGTCTCGTTATTTTAAGTTTCTTTCCTGGGAGCGAGAAGATCACGATTTATCAACAGTTGCTAACGCTAAAACTATTGTGAGCATAGAGGCTTCCTAATGACTTCACGAGGCTCTCCGATATAGCTATGGATGTACAAAAGAAAAGGAAAGAGCGCTTGGATTACCAGGCGACTCGGGCGAGCGAGAAGGAAAGGCTGCTACGAGCCATTAAACCCGTAAAATAAGACCGGTTATCTTAACACATGTGCGTCGATTGGTTCGGTGGACCCGTATTTGCAGCACTGATTTAGATACATGGTCTTCACTTTCATACTTTGATATAGTTCCCTACCTGGTATTTTCGCCCGTGCCATTGTACAACATGGAGGAGCTGACGAGGCACTTAAGGCTTAAGGCACATAACCATTTTCCGCCAAAGGAAGCTGGTATTGTGACAAATGTCCTCAGTGTGCCCCCTCTCAAAAGAAACAGAAGTATTAATGAATCTGAATGACAATTTACTATAAAACGTAATAACAAAGTTCAGATTGCAGCTCTATTGTATTTAATATTAATGCAAGTATATAATAATGATGATGATTTAACATGTTTTCTTTTCCATCAACTATATAAAGAACATGTAAGTGTAACCAGCTTATTGCTGTATTAAAAATAAGACCTAAAAATGGAGGGTATCCAATTGAGCAAATCAGTTTATGATTTATTTTGGATGACTGAAGAATATATATTTTACATAAACAAGGGTAACACAATGTATAATGCATTGGTTCATGGCCTCGCCTCTCTGTGGCCTTATAGTTATGTTCAAATGTGTAATCTCTAATTGTTGTGTTGTGTTTGTAGTCGTCTTGTATGCAGCTTGTATGGGACTTGATTTCGTTTTTGCTGTGTTGCTCTTTGTGCTACATTTGAAGTCCCCCTTGAAAACGAGATGTTTTATCTCAAGGGGTTTATCCTAAATACATATATTTCAAACTTAAATTACACACTGATTTGTGTTAAATTAAATCTATTGTAGTCGGTAGTCAGACTGAGATCCAAATTTACTTTTTGAAGTGTCATCATGTATGTGTGACACCAGAGTTGACTTCAAATATAAATATTAATCAGATTATTGCAACTGCTGTATGGAAAGATGTTGTCATAAAGTAGGTAGATGCAGCCATTGGACACATGCAGAAATGTGGAATTTGCATTATAAATTGCTCTGAATGTGTACTATTTTCTGTGTTAGTGTTGTATTTACAGAATTCCTTGCAACATTGAAAAGAAGTTAAGGACTTGCCTACTGCACATACTGAAAGGTGAGACAAATAACCAATATTGAAAGAAATCACACTATGGACTATTGAAGCTGGCCGTGTTGTGTGTTGTGTACAAGGCCATAACCGTGGAAAAACTGGCTTGAGTTTTAAAACATGATACATGTATTTATTATCCTTGCAAGAATGGAAGTAGTTATCTCATACAGCATATGGTACAACTAATTCCCCGAACAGTGTCCTTCACATGCTTATATACAAGAGAGGGTGTATCACAGTCACAAGATGGAGGAATACCGGTTCAAAGCAGTAAACAATGTTTAGTTCAAATTAGTTGAGGCCCACGTCAGAAATAATCATGCATGTCATCTGTCTATCTCCCTAGAGGCTGAATCATCATGTTAATCACATAGCTATCAGGTGCCTAAAACAGTGTGTCCTGACACTCTTCTAGGTAATCATACATCCTGTCATATACACTCACTGTTACAGTTTGGCCTTTGTTATCATGTGCACCTCTGTCCTTTTAATTAGTACATTCAGTATTTTCTCCAACACAGTTTGTAAAAGTTTGTTATATTTGGCTATAATAATATAATGAATACCTTCTCTAAAACCATGGATTTCCATTTTAATGTTCTTTACCAGGTTATTTTGTTACAGATATCTAAAAAGTAGTTTTCTTGCAGTATAGAGATGTAGCTGAAACTAATCCAATAATGTCTGACAACAGAAACAGATCTAACAGTGGCTGTTGTTAATGCCAGGTGATGGACTGATGACAGTGTCCTTTCCCTCTCTCACTTTCTACATTCTTTAGTATAGTTACATAATGGCAGATGCCCGAGATCGAACTCCTCGCACACGCTCAAGAGCAGATCAGAAGACGTTTAAACCTTCCCCCAAACGAAAGAGTCCTAGACTGTCTTCTTCAAAGCAAACGAAGCTAGCGGGAGATGCTCGAGTGAACATTGGATCAGCGTTTGAAACGTGGAGTGAAGTGAAGGCCTCAAAAGGATTAAAAAGTGATGCAGAGTTGGCTCTTACTCTACTCAATCAGTGAGTTAACCCTCAAGAGCATTCTGTTTGCAGAACAGCTTCATAAATATTTGTATCTTGCCAGTTTTTTAATCTACGTACATACAGCGGTTTGGTTTGTCAAGTATCAGCATGCCCTTCTGCTTAATGTTGCCATAGTAAAACACTAACACTGTTTAGCTTTTACTGTCTAAGTGTGAAGGTAACTGTTATGACAGATTCCTTAACCTGTTTCACACCATCCCCCCGGTACCGGGCGGATAAACGCGTCATTTGCAGGAAACAACGTCTAAGGAATCTTAATATTGAATAAAACTATGAATGTGTTATATCCATGTAACGGGAAGAAACTCAGCTAACTGATCTTTTTAATTTTTTTTTTCAAAAAAAACCCACAATGCTAGCACTCAGCCTCTGAATTAGCCTCGATCGAAAAAACGGAACCTACAAAGGCACTTAAACTCACTCATAACTCCCTTATTACTTATCCTAGATGCACAGCCAACCACTCGTTTTTGGTGTCCTGGAGACACTGAATCTGTGTAAAAAACCTCAACACTCAGTGATAAACATTCGCGACGCTATAAACGAAAGCGTACATCATCACATGTGGAGCTAAGTAGCTAACAAACGTAAATATGGCTTACCTTGGTCAAAAGTGGTCTTCAATGGCATTAAAACGATAAAAAAACGATGCTGCAGTTAATCCATAGGTTCATCCTATGTGTCTGTGCCTTCTTTGAAATTATTTCTGATAATCCATAAGCAATACAACTGCGTTTTAGTTTCCAAACTCCAGAAGGAGACATTCTTCCACTTTGGTTTCGTTTTCCACACGCGAAGCGCCCACATTTTTTCTTTACAACGTGTGTGTGAGTGGGCCTCCCCCTTCGATTCTATTGGCTCTAACGGTCACAAGGGTATGTCAACCAACCAAATCGACCAAGGGAAGCCAGAGATAGGTCAAATCCACCCAAATGACCCCAAAAGTGGGGGTTTTTGGCTAAATCTCTCTAAAAAGGTCAAATTTCACTTGTTTTGCATCAATCTTGATACAGGGTACTTATTATATGTTGTACTTTGGATTCCTAAAGCTTTTAGTCTACTAACCCATCATCCAAGGGTAGTTTTCACTATCTGTAAAAAATAATTTTTGGACGGACACTATAATTTACAGTTTTTTACTATGTAAAATCTGAATTTTCTTTAAAATAAAAAACATTTATATTGATTCTGACACTTCTACATCCAACTCACAGGTTTATCATTACTTTGAGAACAAAGATTATTAATTTAACCCTTTTAGAAGGGAAGATATGGTCATTTGTTCTGGGAATGTCATTTTCGAGCCTGAGACCTGAAAAACAGGCTCAGAGTGGAACAGGTTAAGCAGCGTATTTCTCGCTTATTCATTAAGGTAACACGGGTCAGAGAGACCCCATCGTCCCTTCCGCAATTACCTAGGCCAGGGGTCGGCAACCTTTTTGATATGAAGTGCCATTCTTAAAAAAAAAAAAAAAAAATGATCAGCGTGCCGACGATCGTGAATTATAAACGGGGGGGGGGGGGTTGAAGAGCTCGACGAAAACACTCGTGAAAAGTGATGTTTAAAACTCAGTTAATGGGGCTCATTCACTGGCGCTTCCACAAACAACAACCAACATAATTGTTACATTCAAATGAAGTAGCCTACATTATTCAAGTTTACATTAACTTTGGATAATGACACGGGAGAAATGAGCGGAAGCGCTCTCTTTTCCTCTCTCCCCCTCTCTCTCTCTCCTGACAGCCTGTCAGTATCTCATGCAGCTCACTGATCCAGTCATGAGTGACAGTGAAGAATAAATATATTTATAACTAGTTCCAAAGGTAGATAAAATAGCTAAGTGTGTTAGGTCTAACTCTTGTGTGTTTTGCTCCGCTCACCGGTCCGTCACAGCGGGTGGAGCAGCAGGATTTCTGCTTCACACACGTTGCACCGCTATTTTATTGTCATTTTCGGACACCTTAAAATACTGCCAGACTGGTGAAGCGATTTTGGCGAGCTTGTTTTGCCGCACACAGAGAAAAGTGTAATGTATGTTACGTCTCGCGATCAGCCTTTTTAGAGAGCACCGATCGATCGGCAGAGAGTGAGTATCGGCCGATATCGATCGCCACGCAAAAACTGCGGCATTTTTACAGCTCCTTAATGCAATTTGTGAAGTGCTTTCCTCTGTGGTGAAACTATCAGCACTGCATTACGGAGGAAAGCGGCAGAAAGTCGCCTGGAGTTAAAGAGAGCGGGGCTGCGTTGCGTGCATGGCTTCCTTCTGCAGGTAACGGGGAGACGCGCTCTGGCGGCGGTCTCGTTCAGGATCCAAAAATAAAATAAATATTTTGTACACTTATTCCACTTATTCCTAGTGTACCACTGGTTACGGTGCCGCGTGCCATTGGTGGCACGCGTGCCAGGGGTTGCCGACCCCTGACCTAGGCTGAGCGGAGGGTCAAGGAGGCCCTGTTTTGGATAATACAGTTAAGTCTTGACAATTGGATAATTCATATCCTGAGAGGGTATTAATTACTCTTAAAGAGGTCATGATAGTGACCTTTCCACATCTGGAACATAACAACATATCAACTAATCTATGTTAGTGTGTTAGGAAAATTAGTGTGCGTTCATTAGAGCTGCTATATATGCTGGGTGGAAACTTGTACTCGTGGGGGCATTTACGCGATTGGTTGCTGTTGAAGCAAGGTGATATACTCTATTATTTGTTGTTGCGCAACTGAATAATAATGAATCTCAACCATATCTGTGTTTGTGTTTTATTGATCTCTCTCCCTGTGTTAACATTTAAAGTTGGTGAGCCATTAATTGCACTAACAGTAACCATCACAGAAAAAGACACATTAGTGAGTTGCTAGTGTTTAACCACAGACAATGGTGATACATGTATTTGGAGTCTGCTACAATGGCATGTTTAGGGAATAAATAGTAGAAGTAGTTTTCCTATTTTCCAGTGCATTTTATCCCATTTCTGCAAATGACAGTTTGTAATATATGTAAGATGGGGCATTTTACTTCTATACATTGTGTGTTTTTCGGAATGTTTGACCCCAGATAAGCCTCTTCCGTATCCAAATTCCAAACACTAACAATTTTGTCATGAGGGTTTTAAAGGTTCATCTTCATTCAATCAATCAATGTTTATTTATATAGCCCAATATCACAAATGTTACATTTGTCTCATTGGACTTCACAGTTTGTACAGAATATGAATACGATCTTAGAGGTGTTCCCTAGAGCAAAGCGACACATGGTGGGACAGGTTAATCATTTATGTTGCCAGATATTACAGAAATGCTTTAAGATGGATGTCAACTAAATACCTAGTGAATCTTGACATTATTTATGTCTGTTTCTGTGTGTGTGTGTGTGTTTCTCTGTATGCATATATGAAGAATGAAGAGGTTACCAACCAATTCAGATTCCTCTGGACCCAGTAAGAAAAAGATCAAGTTATCCCAATCTGAAGTAAGAGACATTATTTTGAGATTATTAAATGTTTAAAAGAAAATGCATGATAACATTTGCAATTGATTACAGTGCATCATAATAATATCAACCTTCAGTTTCTGAGTTTCTTTCTTTTATGATTTAGGTGCAGACGCTGATCGAGCAGGAGGTTCAAACTGCACTGACAAAGAAAGAAAACAAGCTGCTGGGTTTAATAGGAACGATTCAAGAGCAGGATGAATCACTGGACTACAAAAGCTCCATCCAAAAACTGGAGGTTCGTGAAAGTAGTGATTCAGCGTGCTTTACTTTGTTTTTGTTATCTTAAAGGGGCCTTCTTATGGTCGTTTTCAGCTTCATATTTGTATTTTGTGCCTCTCTGTATTAACATGCCTTTCCCATACTGCCTGTGCTGCAGCACCGTTTCTCACCCTCTGTCTGAAATGAGAGCCCAGGCTACTCTGATTGGTTATCCGGTTAGCTCTGTTGTGATTGGTCAACTCCTTGGAGATGCCCCGCCCCTTATATTGCAGTGTTTCCCATACATTGCGGAACGCCACAAATAAATATCGTCCGCCACAAATGGATCTCATACAAAATAATAATCTTTTTTTTCTTCTTACTGGTGCGGTGCCCCCACAAATATAATTAAATTCTGTGCGAAACACTGTATCGTATCACTTACAATGTGTTTGAGAGCTAGCCAATAGAAGGCTGTTACAAGCCCTTCTATTGGGGGCTTGTAACAAGCGCGAGTGTTACATAGAAATGTCACTATGTTATTGAAGTAAACCAGTCCATGGAGGCGTTTCAGGCAGGGTTGGCGGAGTGTGTGTAAAGTAAATCTTTTAAGCTTTCTTTCTTCTTTCTAGCTTAACCCGTTGTTCTTCCTAATTTTTACCCATTAGATTGGATCCACTTTAATCGTACACACGCTACACTCAGCATCATAAAATCACCTTTGTGTGAATTTTATTTGTTGTTCTGCCACGTCTTTGAACCAAACTTGGATATATTCTGCATATGTCTCAAAGCCTAACTGGTTATAAAGTATATCTTAAACCAGAACATTTTTTCTCTCTTCCTAAGGAGCGGATGAACACAGTAACCAGGAGAGCGGAAGCAGCCATCGCCTTCATGACAAAGACACATAAAGAGGTTTGATGCACACACACACAACTTCAAACCCTGCTTTTTTGCTCATGCAGTTCTATCTTTTTAAAGGTCCCATCATAGGGCTGTGCAATTAATCGTATTTTAATCGCAATTACGATTTTGGCCTGCCACAATTACGAAAACAACATAATCGAAAAAAACAATTATTTAGCTTTGCTAGGTTGTGACAGTGCAACATATTTGATCTAATTTATTTTGGTCTCATTTATTTGTATTTATCATATTTATATATGTTTAGTAGCATGGGGAAGTACGCTCCAAAATATTTGTTGATCTTGTTTATTGGTATTTATTATTTTGATATTATTTATTTAAATGTATCATTTATTTTATTTATTTTTGTATTGGTTTTTCAGTTGAATTATACGTTCAGGGTAATCAACAGTTAAAAAGATACTGTTCAAATTATTATTTGTATTTGTTTTAAAGTTCAATAAAAGGATTTTTTCAAAGTCAATGAATAATCGTATTTAATAATCGTGATATCAATTATTGACCCAAATAATCGTGATTATGATTTTTGCCATAATCGCACAGCCCTATCCCATCATATGCTTTTTTTGGTTATTATTACCCGTCCCCTTGTGTGTTATGTAGCCTTTTCTGCATGTAAACGGTCTGCAAAGTCACAATGCCTCAAAGTACACCCTGTAGCGAGTACAACTCTAACACAGAAAAGACGTGTCTATGCTGCCCCAGAACGCCTCGTTGGAGATTTTTCTTTTTCCATTTTTTACTTCCGGGGCAGGTTGACCAATCCGCGGAGCGCCGCACACACACACACACACACTCACTCACTTAGCCTTATCTTTTCTCAGCCGCTCCGTACACACTGTGCTCAGGCTGAGTTCCGCGGTGTCTCGCTGTCTCGCAGACCCCACGCAGCAACCAGGAAACGACACCATTAATCCAGCTCACACTGTCTGCTCCTCAAGCCTCAAAGGGCGGAGCAGTGAGCCCCGCAACGTCCCGCCAACACGGCACCCAGACCAGCATTCTCATCTGTTTGTCATTACTGGTGTCATTTTGCTGTAACGGTGGTTGACTAATCAGAACAGAGTGGGCTTATAGGGGGGGGGTTTGTATGGAATATGTTAGAATAGGTACCATTGATTATTATATCCAGTTTGAAATGTAAACAGTAAAGACTGCCTCACGAGATCCAAACAATTGATTGCCTTTCAGAACCCACAGCCATCTCTGGATAATGTCAAGATTAAAAGGTATGTGTATTACCCGGGTCCAGTGGTAAAAACTCTCGTGAACCTGTGTACTTTTGCTTGGTTTGTATTTTGAGACATTTTTGATGTTTTGTTCACCCCTGCAGGGAAGACTCTGCCAAAGATAAGAAAATCCCACCTGGTAAGATCTCAGCCAGCAAGCCTGCTTTTATAAATATTTGCATTTGTGGATTGTTGAGTATTCGTTCAATGCAATTTGCATTTTCAGGTTTCAAAAGCGACATTGAGAGCATGGAAAAGAGAGTGGAGTTCTTAAATATGATGGTAAATATGCAGTTCATTTCTCGGAATAATTTGTTAAATACAAATGTTAAAATGCCTCCTTGTTTGTTAAGGAGAAGACTTGATTTTCACACAGTTAATTGTAGTTTGCTCATTCATTGAAAAGATGAGGGGTTTATGCTCAAAATCTGCTAATATGGCAGTTTACCTTTCTCTCTGTCCAGAAAAGCACCAAAACGGGATTAACAAAGATGCAAGAAGACAATGAATGTAAGAGCTTTTGATTTATTTATATATATCTATATGTATACATGCAGAGGTTCGAATAGCTCAATTTTAAACTAATGTAGCTTCTAATGATATTATTTTTCATGCATGGAGAAAAAACTGACGAGATAAGCTGCTATAATGACCCAAATTAAATAATATGGGTCACCGACTACATGAACTAATAACCACACCCTTTTTTTCTACTCTCTCTTGTCCCTTCTGTTACTTGTCACTGCAAATAATCCGTGTTAAGCTTTGAAGGCTGTCATAGCCAAACAGAAGCTGCCTCCTCCGGTTCCTACTCCTAACGGCTCTTCTGACTGCAAGGTAAGATGCTTCATTATTTGATTTATCCTTTCCAAATGATTAGGCATAAATACTGTATGTTATCAGTAGCTAATAGCAATCTACACAAGCAAGGGAAAGATGAGATTTCCTTTCCTAAAAATAAATGTTTTGTTAATGTTTTGTGTCTTTAATTACTCTCATTAGGAGTCACTTATTAAGAAAGAGCCGGATGTGGAGGAGTCAAAGCAGTCTGTGGAGGACTCAAAGCAGTCTGTGGAGGAGTCAAAGCAGTCTGTGGAGGACTCAAAGCAGTCTGTGGAGGAGTCAAAGCAGTCTGTGGAGGACTCAAAGCAGTCTGTGGAGGAGTCAAAGCAGTTTGTGGAGGACTCAAAGCAGTCTGTGGAGGACTCAAAGCAGTCTGTGGAGGAGTCAAAGCAGTCTGTGGAGGACTCAAAGCAGTCGGTTAAACTAAAGGCTGTGATGGTGAAAGAAGAAAATCTTTCTAGTGACCATAGCAGACCCAACACCGAGCAGGTATTACACACTCACACTAGCACAACAAAATAGCAACTCACTTGATTGTTCGCTACTCAAATTCACCATTTCTGCCTTTCTGCCTTTTCTGACAATGAAGGACGAACTCTATTCGTATCCTCCTCTGCCCTCAACAAACTTTCCCTCCATCCTAAGCATCGAGGTGGCTTCATACAACCTCCCCGGGAGACCGAAAGTGAATGTGGCTCTCATCAAGAACCCCGTCGGCCTCTCTGTGCTCTGGAGCGTGGAGGATAAAGACCCCTCAGCAGCACCGCCCATGGATAGTTACGGGTGAGAAACAGCACAGGATGAGGGATTATGGAGGAAGGTTTCATGCCTGCTACCTAATCCCGTGTTTCCACTACATGGTACAACACAACACATCTCTACTAACCCAATCCCTATTTTTTTTTCTTTTCTCCAAGTAGTAAAACGTGTGTAAACTACATGCAGATACTACTGCAGATCATCTCTACTGATTCATTGGGCATCTTGCAGGAATTCACCTTTTTTAAATAGCAAACGCCAGTTAATTTCCATTGCTTCTTTTTAAAATGTCATAAAACAATTGGTGAATTGCAGATGTTCATCTGTTTGAAAAGAATCAGCTTGTATCAGGTTTCCATGTAAGTTTTAAGCCCCATCTACATTGAGGGGGCATGTAGTATCGAGCATATTCCTACCATGCATTGGGAACACATTATCAGAATGTAGTTATTTACAATGTAAGACCCTTTTTCTATGAAATTGTCACAATGGCTCCTCCAGATGCATAGTTTAAGTGCTTTTGAAGCCAGATGTATTCGGTTTACATTTTTGTTACAAAGAAAGCATCTCACTCTGCTATTTGAGAAGCTTAAACCTTAGAATGTGTTGAATATTTTCTAAATTTCTGCGTGAAAAAGGATTTTATTTGTTTATCGATCATCAAAAGAATTGTCGTTATTTTTTGTGTCAATCGGCCAATTGATAAATCAGCAGCGAACTGCTTCAACACGTATATTTCGGTGTATTCACGGCATTCATTTTTGTAATTCTACAGTATTGTTGTTTTATAGTTATTTGTTAATGTAACCCAATTTGTGTTCTTTGAAATTGAAAAGGATATCGCATTGTGTTTGTTACTTTCGTTCCAGTTGTATATGTCTTAAGTGTAATTTGGCTTGGTTTCCTATTTATGGACATGCTTTTATTTTGAAGGAGAGTTAGCGGAGTTGACAGGAAGTTGTTGTTGCTTTGGAAACAACGTGACGGAGATTAACGGAGAAAAGTAATACCTACATATAAAGACGGAGAAAGTAAACGATAACGTTTATGGTTAAGTGTTAGCACCCCCCGAAGAGGCACAAGCTCTTACGTTGATATTGGAGATTTCAATAAATTCAATTTGGAAAAAAAACGGGGGAAAAACTAAACGAATATCCGAATAACGAAATTGAAACCCGAATAGTACTCCAAAGAACGAATATTCGGATATTCGGGTACAGCCCTACTGCTTATGTCGACATATGACCACCAGATGGAAGCATATTTCAGCCAGTGACTACAGCTTTCCTTATAAAATGTCTCGTCTTACCCATTTTCATTTTGTCTCTCTGTCCCTGATGCAGCCTCTTCATGACTATGGAGAAGGTAAAGGGTAGCGGCGTCTTTCCAAGTTGGACAGCCCTTGGTGAGGTGGAAGCCGTCCCACTACCCATGTGTGTTATGATCAGTAAATACAAGCCCGGCCACACGGTGTGTGTCGCTGTGATTGGCAAAGACAAGTTTGGCCGGTACGGACCTTATAGTACAGTTGTGAACGCAACCGTACCCGATTAGGATATTTGGTCAAATGTGTGTGTGTCTCCCTTCAACCTGCAGGACCAATTGGGAAGAAACAGCAATGGGATGGGCCTCCTATGACCACTTCAAAACACAAAACCACAATCACATTGATGCACACATAGGGCACACACATTGGCCTAATTAAAGCTGACGGAAGAGCAGAGAGGGCTTATGCAAAGATTGCCAGGAAAAAAGGGGAAGGGAGTTGGCGCAGAGAAGCAAGGTAAAACATGCTGAGGTGGAGGGTGATGAGAGAGCAAATGCGTTCTTTAAAGTTTCATGTAAAGTGAAGTGTTGGCAGAACGGTGACCTGCTTCTTCAGCCATTTCCCTCCTGTAAAAATGGATGATACTTATTTGTTCTTGAAAACACTTGTCATATTAATCTTGTGGGCTTTAACATGTCAGTTTGGACCTTTTAAAGTCTTGAAAAGTTTGTAACTTTTGCAACAATTATAAGTTTGTAACTTTTGCAACAATTATCTAAGAATTACTGCTTCATAATCATTGTACATCTCAGATTGGTCAAAAGGAGGGTCAATTTACAAGGTTTGATTTACAAATGTGTATGGCTAATATGTGGTTACATTTATCAAATATTTGTAATAAATGTCATTATATGCTCTCTGTCTTTTATTGCTTATTGTAAAGTGACAATATTATGCAGGGGAAGGACTTACTATTATTCCTGAGAAAGATTCATCAGCTTAACAATTGGAGTTCCTGAGAATTCTCAGTTACACAAACACAAACACAAACACAGAAACAGACATAAATAATGTCAAGATTCACTAGGTATTTAGTTGACATCCATCTTAAAGCATTTCTGTAATATCTGGCAACATCCGCCCAAACTGTTGGTGTCTGTTTCTGATACAAATTGCCTTGCCAAAAATCTTCATGAGTTACACCTGATTTATTCAACACACTCTCACTCCATAAACGTCCAGGAGCGACGCTTGGTCAGGGTCCCGAGACGTGCAGTTGGGATGCTCCTAGGCTCCTTCAGCTTCATAAAGGGACGCAAATAGCTTTCAACTGATTGCAATGTATTCCCATCTGCGGCAGTATTTGACGCTCATGGAAGCACGGCATTCGTTTGTGTCGGCTGCCCTTAAAGGCAATGTGAGCGTCCATTCCCATTGGAACGGAGAATTGTACACCCGGAAGTAAGTATTCCCCTTACTGTCGATTGATTTGACAGTGATATCTGCACTACTCATCAACTAAAAAACACCAGATTATCCTTGTTAATTACACATTGATTGGTTTAAATTGTGTGCAATGCTTTTGTATTTTCCCCCTTTGATTCGGAGAAACAAATATTTTTTCGGAGTTTAGGATGGCAGAAGACACTACATTACCCAGAATCCCCAGCTATCGTTTAGGACTACACCATGTGCTCTGTTTGACAAACCCCGTGATTAGTTCTCAAGCTCTGTGATTGGTTGACCTCAAACTGCATTCCATATGAAAAAAAACGTTTCGTAAAAGATAAAATCATACTTTATTCAGCAGTGTTTGCTTTACTCTTTGAAAGTCATCACATGAATGCATTGTAATAAATGGTTCGGCTGCATTAAATATTACACATCTGTCGTAGTTCTTTATTTATCTGCAGAGATCGGGCTCAGAATAGACCGGAAACTATTCTTTTACCGTTCGGTTTTAATTTCACAATAAAGTTAGTAGTAATATTTTGTTTTGATATTATTCTTTTTTATTAACTACTAGACCGCTGGGTCATGTTAAGACCATATTTTCTGTGGGGTTTTTCCATCGCTTTTGTGTTACAAATATCAAAACAATAACTAAATATATCCGTCGTGAACTAAACCAGAAACAGCAGTATATTTTATTTTGTTAACACTGTAAACTTGACAGCTTTTTAACCCAAACCACCTACTGGTTAAAGCACGTTATTACACGTTTAGAGTAATGCAATGCAGGTAGATTGTGTTGCTTTTTAATGACTGTTTAAAATGGCTTTTTCTTAATGTATTTCATTTTTGTAAAGCACTTTTGAATGTGTTATATTTTATGAAAACATTTAAATATTAAGAGTATATACAAAATAGGAGGAAAGTAGAAGGTCAATGATAGAAATATAGAATAGAAAATATCAAGAAGATACTGTAAATGGTATCTAGAATAAAACAATTAATAAGATATTAATAGGAGGATGTAAAAAACAGACAAACTAATTAGGCTTTATTTAAACATTAAATAATACTTTAGGTTAAGGTCTTCTTTTAAATACATGTAAGCAAAAAGCTTTGGGGGTATCTATATTAAGCCTGACAAAGTACTTAAAGGACACCTATCATGCTATATTTAAATGATATATTGTAGGGCCATACCTATTTAAGGTATATTTATGCATTTCTGTTTTCAAAATACCAAACAGATCATGCATTTTAGCCATGCCTCATTTCGCTCTATGTGCTGTTTGCTGTCTACGGGGCTGATTCTGTGAGCTGCAGCTGACCACGCCCCCCTGCAGGAGAGGGGAGCCGTGCTCTGATCAAGTCAAGAGGGGGAGAAGAAAAGATCTCCGTCCTCCGTGTTTTACTATATTATTATAGGCCTATAGAGTCGTTATTCATTTGTTTTATAGCTCAATAAATAACAAAGAAGACCTTTGACCGGCACTTTTCTAATTTTGTCCGGAAGATTGAAACTTTAACGGACATCTTGACCGGCGAAAGAAACTGAAACTGAAACTCTGCCGCACGGTCCCCTCGTTCCTTGGAAGAGACGGAGAGGTGGGTGTTTGTCATCTGCTGGTGGACTAACCGGAGAGAATTACAGTGCTTGCCTCGACGGGGAGGGATTGCATTGAATTAAAGCAGCGGGAGCAAACGCTTGCCTCGGGGAGGGAGAAAAAAAACCCACAGCGGAGAATAAACAGAAGGGTAACCATGGTAACTATGGGCGGGAAGTCTTCTTCGCTGCTTTTGTGGCAGACTACAGCGCCACTTACAGGCCTGGCATATGTACTACAGCGTCTCCAGCGCTTTCGAGCGGCAATGGCCGGCCGTGGCCCAACCCCACATTCCCCTGATAGGTGGAGAGTTGGCCCAATAGCCGTAGCGCCACTTTACTGACGTCAGTAAAGTGTTCAAATCTGGATCAGTTTTTATCAGATCCGTTGCAGCCCCTTTTTTAGAGATTTGGGTATGGAGGAAAATAGAGAGGGTTGTGTTTTCTGACACTTGGTGAGTTCCCTGGAACACCGGGGACACATATTCATGTATAAAAGACGTACAAAAGTGCATTTTGCATGATAGGTCCCCTTTAATTAGCCCAATATCACAAATTATACTTTTGTCTCAGGGGGCTTTAAAGTGTACAGAACATGAATAGGCCGGAAATTCCCGGTGCTGTAAGCTTTTAAAATATGTATTGAAGACAGAAGAGTCACTGTGTTTCTCCTTGCACTGTGTACAACTTGACAAAAAACTTCCAACTAAAAGGGGGACCGTTCAGAAGAAGTGAAATAAAATATCATAGCAACTCAAAGATATTGTTAAAGACATGTGCACAACTTTCAAAGCAATTGAAAGTATATGGGCTCAGAACAGTCTCATAATACACACATGCACACAGAAGGATTCACACTTGTATTTCATGATCCGCAAAAGGATTCACACTTGTATTTCCGGATCCACACTTGTGTTTTTCAATGCACACACAAATGTGTTCCGTTTCATATACATGTAAATAAAATCCAAATACAGAAAAAAGTTTTACATATGTATTTTTGATCCTCACATATTTGTTTTCCGTTTCACAAACCGCTTTCTGTGCATGGATCGCTGTGCATTCGTGTGTGGGTTTTTTGAGACTCCCCTGACGGTCACCCGATTCGTACTTGTAATTTTTTCTATCTATAGCCAATCAGATGTCTCCTCAATTCTAAGCCAATCACATGAGCGCGCCCCCACGAGGGTAGATTTCTTGCGTTCATGACGTAGCGCTTCATGTACGCATTTTGCGCTGTCCGGAGCTGACAGGTCCATGGAGCCTGCCTGCAGGCGCTAATCTCAGGACACTTCCACTCTCAGTACATTGCCACTTTCCGAGCAGGAAATGCACGCAAATACAAGCCTTTATATTATTAAGGTACAGTGCCACTTTCCGAACCATTAATGAATGCTTGTGTACATAAAAACGGCAGGCAAAACCGTTTTAAATGTGTGTTTCCTGTATGGCAAATACAGCTGCTTTATTTATGTCTGTATGAAGTTGTTGTGAGTGTGGAGGGAGCAGCTACAGGTTAGCTTAGCCTAATCGATCAGTGCACTACGAAGCCAGTGCTAGACAGTGAACTGTCAACGGGGGGAGCCCCGCCGGTCATTATCGGCCGATATTCACTCTTAATAGTTTGATCGGTGCTCTCTATAAAGGCCAATCAGGAGAGCTGGATCTGATCGATATGGACATAAACGCGAGTGAAGTTTTAGCGAGCTGCATGAGAAACTGACGGGCTGTCAGGAGAGAGGGAGGGAGAGAGGAAAAGAGATGATCCTTTTACTCCCGTGTTATTAGCCATATCCGGTCATAGTCCGGTAATTACCTGCTAACGGAAACTCTGCTACACAATTCTTCTTCTTCTTCTTATTGAAACATGACCGGTAAGTTTCAAATTTGTCCGGTAAAATAAATTCTGTCCGCGGAAACCCTGCTCCGGACAGCGCAAAATGCGTATATGAAGTGTCATGAACGCAATAAATCATACCCTCGTGGGGACCCGCTCATGTGATTGGCTTAGAATGAAGGAGACATCTGATTGGCTATAGATAGAACAAATTACAAGTACGAATCGGGTGGCCGTCAGGGGAGTCTCAAAAAACCCACACACTAATGCACAGCGATCCATGCACAGAAAGCGGTTTGTGTTTGTAGGTTCAGGGGATTTAAACGGAAAACAAATATGTGAGGATCAAAAATACATATGTAAAACTGTTTTCTGTATTTGGATTTTATTTACATGTATATGAAACGGAACACATTTGTGTGTGCATTGAAAAACACAAGTGTGGATCTGGAAATACAAGTGTGAGTCCTTTTGCGGATCATGAAATACAAGTGTGAATCCTTCTGTGTGCATGTGTGTATTATGAGACTGTTCTGAGCCCATAAAAGTACAATTGTTATAAATGTTTTTGTGTCCACAGAATACAAGGCTACCAAGCAGAACAATATTGTGTGAAACACGCACAGACACA